GGCGATCTGATACTGACATCAATGATGCAAAACCTTTAAATTCTTCTCTTTATGGCTATTCAATGGAGAGTTTAATTGATTGCATTAGAACTGAATCCTCACAAATAGATACATGTCATCAAACTTTCAGTACTTTTGATCCTAATCTTCAAGACGTGTCACTACAAGTGGGAATCAGTACTTTCTCCAGACATCCTTATAATGAGTTTCGGGAAACTTCGTGGCCGTTGGATAAGTCGTGGCAATGGATGAACGATAATATGTCTTCCCTTTGCGGTCAACCCTTTCGAAGAGATTCGTTGACTAGTTTTCGCAGAAGTAGTTTCGTTGAGTCAATGAAAAGCGATGTGACGACTGTCGAGGACTTGATTACACTACAGGCGCCCGAACTCTGTGTTCAAAAAGTTCACAATTTGTCACAAAAGATGTCAAACAACGGAAGCGTTGAGAATAAAGAATTTCACGAAAGATATGATAATTTGGCGGCTCTTATGAATAACAGGGAAAGTGTTAAACAAGAAAGTGTATTGCTATGCCTGTGACTCAAATCACTCGGGACCCTATCGCTCACCACCCTTCCTAACGAATTTTTCCACAAAGGTTTCTTGAGTAACGAAGTCAAATCAGGACTTTTACTTCTTTTATCAAACCCATTGAATAGAGAGCTCGTGAATAATGGTTGCGAAAACGAGTCGTCGATAACGAGTCTATCGGACAGTCGCCGGACGAGCACTTTCGACATATTCAGTTTAGTCCTGAAAATGAAGAAAATAGTTTCCCATTGAATAGAGAGCTCGTGAATAATGGTTGCGAAAACGAGTCGTCGATAACGAGTCTATCGGACAGTCGCCGGACGAGCACTTTCGACATCACGGAAGTCAGTTCTATCGCCGAAATGCGTTCAAACGCTTCTTATGCCGAACACAGAGAGTCGACGGCCAGCGATAGACTCACTGTTTTGGAGACCAACGATTGCGGCATTGGTTTAAACATTTGTAACTATATATTCAAATTGTCGGCCGAAGGGGACAACACTTTCGCCAAAGCTGTCGATCACTTCATTCAATGCACACAAGAAACTAACGAAACGAATCCTATTATGTGAGTCTAAAATTTATTTATTAATTATTTATTAATATATTGACTAATGATTTGATTTTCGTGTTAAACAGAGTGTTGCGAAACATTAGGCAATTCATGAATGGGATGAAGAACTATCTGGTAAAACACGGTGAGGGAGAGCTCAACCAAATGGTCGAACGGGAGAGGACTAAACTTAAGTCTAACGAGTTCTTGAACATAGACGCCATATTGGAGAGCGCTTTGCATCGACTCGTCATTAAGCCGTTGAAGAATTTTTTATACCAACTCTTCATCAATGAATACAACCGAAACGGTTCGCTAAAAGTGTTGTCGCGAAACATAAAAGAGGCGCAAACCAAGAGTCCGGAAGAGTTGGGCGTTCGGCCGGAACTGTTGCCCATCGATCACAAAGTGATGGCAGAGATTCAGAAGCATTTATGTCGTTTGCAACAGTCGTATTCACCCCTCAAAAAGTTGGAGTATTTATTGTCAAGTATTTCATGCATTTATAACAGCGTTCGTCAGCACCAGAAGAAGCGCAACACTAATGACTCTTCCGGTCACCAGAAGAGCGAATACGCGTCGTTCGGCGCCGACCACTTCCTCCCTATCTTTATATATG